TATCAAATCAACTCCAAACGACACCAAATTTTGCAGGCAAGTTCTAAATACCGTACGGACCTATTCCAAGTCCCAAAATCGAATTCCGGGCTCGATAGCTAAAAGTCAACCCCGGTTAAACCTTTCATCTTCAAGTTGCCAAATTTCGGCAAATCAACAAAAATCAACCTACGGACTTCCAATCTTATTCCGAGTTTAAGTCGAAGTCCAAAATGACGCTACGAGGCTATCAGAGCCATAAAAATATAGTTCCAGGGTCCTTTTCATAAAAGTCTAAGTTAGGTCAATATTTTCTAATTTAAACCTCTAAGTCAAGAATTAAGGGTCCAAATCAACCCGAAAGCTCCCTGAAACGAAACTAACCAACCCCACAAGTCATAAAATTATAAACACATATGTGTGAAGCATTAAAGGGGGTTACAGTTCGAATTACACAAAATGACTGATCAGGTCGTTACAGATTTCCTAGGCCAATAGTACATTCTCGCCAATAGTCCTGCCTTTCACGAAGCCACTTTGATGACGGGATATTAACTTGGAATGAACTTGGAAAGTCTAGCATTTAAAACTGTTGAAACAATCTTATGTGAGACATTACTCAAACTAATAGGTCTGACATCTTTAAAGGTTTGAAGCGTCTCAACTTTAGGGAGTAATACTAAGCAGGTACTAGTAAAGAATTTAGGCATATGCTCCCCATTGATTACTTCTTTGAACATGTCTGTTATGTCATCTATGATTATATCTCAAGTCCTCTGAAAGAAAAAACCATTAAATCAATCTGGTCTAGAGGTACTATTATGATCCATACTAAAGACAACTTCCTTAACTTCTTCTTTTGTTGGAGCTGTAATTAGAAAATTATTGTCCTCTTCCATAATTATCCTAGGGATTTGTTGTACGATTCTCATGTCAATATATTTGTTATCTCTAGTGAATAGTTGTTGATAAAAATCAAACAACATTAGCAATTTCTATGTCATTTTCAATCAAGGTATTATCTACTTTGATTCTATGAATGTGTAATAACATCCTTCTGCCTATGTCCACACTGTGAAAATATTGTGTGTTTTCATCACCTTCTAATTGCCACTTCAAATGAGCCTTCTGTCTCCAAAATGTATCCACCATCTTGTGTTGAATCACCAATTTTACCTTGGCCTTATTAGTTATGATCTAGTGTATTGATCAATGGAGTTAATATATGTTTCCCCTAACTTCCATATTCCAGCCCTGCTGAACAATCTCCATGAAATCATGTTGTTCCACCCAAAAGTTAAGAAACTTAAATTATTTGATAAACTCCTCGTCTTTGTTTTCAAAGGTTATAAGTAGAGGATAATGATCAGAACTTATCCTGGAAGATGTATTACTTTTGATTCAGAAAAATTAACATCCCATTCATCATTCACATGTAATCTATCTAGTCTTTTTCAAATTACGTCCTCCATCTTCCTCTCATTACACCATGTGTAAGTGTTCCCCACAAATCCGACATCATATAATCCACAATCATTTAAGCATTCTATAAAAGGAATGCTCTTACTCAACCCGTGAGGCCTACCAAGGACAGTTTATACATTTTGATAAGACACATCAATCGTTTAGTTGCAGTTTGGGACATCATGCCCCGGATATTCCAATTAAGGACACTGATCATGTTGAAGTGATATTAAGAGGATTTGGGAAAGTTTCTTTTGACTTCTGGTCATAGGAGCTTCTCTAGTTTTCCTTTCCTTTTTATCTGTTACAGCTTTTCTTGGTGATAACCCTCCTTGTTGGCATGTATATTCTATATGTCTCTGAACATCATATGCCTCAATCATAGGTCCATCAGTGGTTTGAATAAATTGATCTTCTGCCTCATCAAAAGACTCCTCTGAGGTATTAGTCTCATTAGAAATATCATCGTAATTTAGGTCATATTTTGTTTCTTGTGGCATCTCAACTATTGTACCTGTTGCTTCTCTAGGTAATTGTTCAAAAGGAGAGCTGCTATGTCCTAGACTTGAGTTATCATCCACGGTTAGGCTCTCAAATCTGTTATTAATAGATAGCTTATTGAGATATACTCCGTTGATATTCATATTCTGTATTCTAGCTCCACCATTTTTCCATACCTCTATCCATCCATCTTGAAACAAAACAACTTTGTTGTCTCCAGTGATAACATCTCACATATTCCCCTCTTGGTTAGTCACTATTTTTTTACTGTTTAAGCTTAAACAATGGCGTAAGCAGAATTTTCACCAAAGGTATTCAAAAATTACAAAACGTAAACACACAAAGAATATAAGGAGATTCAATACCTAATATATATACACAAAAAGAAACTTTATATATAAGTGTAATTTTTAGCGAAGGTTCATGTATAGGGTAAAACTAGTTTAAATTAAATGATCAAAAAATAGCGTGACACGTGGAACCGGAGGCAGATGGAAGATGAATCAAGTAAGAATCGAAAACGAGGACAACATCTGCAGTTGGTATCGGATAGATCCCGAAAGGAGTATAATCAATGGAAGCAGAACGAATGTTTGTATCCAGATGACATTTAATGAAGAATATTCCCTAATATTAAATAAGCAGCCTTTGGCAGAGAATTTTGGCATTTATGGCCTACCATTACACCTTCATCAATGGTCTCCTTTATTGTCATTTATTAGGATATTGATCCTAGTATCTTGTTTCCTAGGTATAGCTATAAATAGTAGTTCCTACAACCATTGAAATGACATGAAATCTCTGGCAAAAACTTATGATATACTTTATTCTCAAGCTAACTAATACAACTTACTTTCTGTCTGATACTACTCTTACTACTGTCACCGGAAGCATTGCTCCCTGAGCCAGGCTTGATATTTCCTTTAAATTTATCACTAAGCATCATTCTTAATTTAATTTGTTTATCATTTCAGATCAAATCAATTTGCTTGTCTATAAATCACGCAACAAATTCAACTGTACTGTTTTATGGGTAAATGGTTTGGCGCCCACCGTGGGGCTTAGACAGTTGCGTAATTAAGTTGATCCTTGCATCTATTACTAACTCGTTTGATTCTTTGTTTCATAGCAAAAAGTCAAAAAATGGTAGGTAACGATGTCAACATCGCACACAATATTGAGGCGCACGAAAAATCTGCCTCAACATGAGGACTGAATTAGTGACACCCGCAACGGCCCCACACTTAGATCATTGCTCGTCCTCGTGCAATCAAACTACACTTCACACAGGGATGACCTGTTCATCAAACAACTTCCCTAATGCATCATGCCAAGAATTTTTTTAAAGCATACTAAGCACCCTATCATAATATCCTAGACTGAAAGCTCGACTCAAAAGCACCACGCATTGTTCACAACCTGCTCACTTACTCTAACAAGAGGTCAACGTCATTACCTTTCCTTCGCAAGTCATGTGCCTCACAACAAAAAATAGAGAGTAGTTCCACACACAATAACATTCATAAAATAAATAGGAACTCAAGGTAGAAAGAATTAACTCACTCTTAGAAATAAAATTCATGCGCCACAAAAAATGTACCATAGGCTCGCCCGTAGTGTAATAGTCTACTAATTGAGCTCATTCAGTCAAAGATCAACTAGGACTTTATTTTGTTGTAATATAGGCTGCAGGACGGGTAGGATACATTTGGATATAGTGAATACACCCCCCCTACGCACTTTAATATGTATGCATTAACAATTTAAACCCCACACTTGTGTTGAACCAAACCCTCGACCTTCACACATAATAACATCAAGCTCCCAATTTCTTTAAGCACAGACACAATGAGAACATACCACTATCAAGTAATCAATTTTATTTCTTTCTAATGCATATATAAACTCTTTTTCTTTTCTTTCTATGTTCTGTTTTTTTTTCAAGCAACTTCATTTTTTATTCTTTCAATTTCTCACAAGTGACTCTCATAAATTTTCAAATAGTGCACCTATCTCCATATTTCTTAGTCCCACTAGAAAACCGAACCATACATGCACTTAGACTTTCACAATCTCATAACAATGTCAAATTCTCAAGAGAGGTAAAAGGTTCAAACAAATAGTCAATCAAATAAAATGGATCAGGCTTGTAGGGTGGTTGCCAAAGAAATATGATTACAGGCTCAATTGGGCTAATTAGGATATAGAACAATTAGGCGGGTCATAAACTTATAATTTGCTAGACAAAGAAATGCTTATATTACTTCCTAGACTTAACAAGACTGCTATTTCGCTTTGCAAACACACGTGGCGAGTTCTAGACATCAAGTGACATGCATAAAATATCAACAAAATCTCACACACATTGGCACATAACTCACTTAGGACCGGATCTATCCCGACTCTCTAGTCAAAGCAGTTAAGCAACATCAAAATCAACCAAATTCAACCACTTATACATACTCTCAAGGCATAACAAAGTTAAGAAAAGTCATCTCCATTTAATGCCATAGCACATGACTTCATTATTCCAAATAAAAGAAAAACTGACTACACCAGGTTCAAGCAAAACCTTTGGAAAAGAACTGCGGTACAAAGATAACCAAGAAGAAATTGTTACACTACCTAGGAAAAACAATAATTTTTTTTCTTTGACTTTGATCCATTAAGAAGACAGTCGAGGAAATTCATCGTCGGGAAAAATCAAATTTATTTTATCTTCAAATATAACACAAGAAAACAAACATACATGTACATATTTACATCCCCCACCCCACGCTTTATATTGTGGCATGTCCCCATGAAACATAAATAAAAAGCAAGAGGTAAAGGAAACTCCCCCGATTCATCAAGTCGAGGTCTGAATAGTAGCCAGGATCTCCTTTGCGCGCCCGACCCAGTGCACACATCCATGCTGAGAGCTTCTTTTCTGACTTCTTTGGATGCACCCCACACTTATCATGCTTACTCTCTCCGGCTAGTTCTTTTAGGAGCCCTATTGCTCCTACCATCTTAAAGAACACCTTTTCTTCCCCCACTCTGAGCAGGGGCTGCCTTTATTGAATGTCCAGAATCACTCTTCCAGTAGCCAAGAAGGGTCTCCCTAGAATCAGAGGGACTTCCCTATAATCTTCCATGTTCACCACAATAAAGTCCACAGAGAACACAAATTTCTCCACCCGAACTAGCATATCCTCCACTATTCCTTCAGGTATGATTCTGGTCTGAGCCGCCAGCTGCAAGGACACAAGTATAGATCTGATTTCTCCAATTTCTCTCTCTAATTTCTTGTAAATGGACAAAGGCATAAGGTTTATGGAAGCACCTGAATCACACAATGATTTTTCAAATTTAGTGATTCCTAAAGAGCAAGGTATAGTAAAACTCTTCGGATCTCCACACTTTTGAGGGAGCTTATTTTGTAGAATAACACTACAATGTTCTGTGAGCTTGACTACCGATGTCTCCTCCACTTTTCGCTTGTTGGACAATATCTCCTTTAAGAACTTGGCATATGCTGGAATTTGTAAAAGCACCTCTATGAAAGGTACGTTAACATGCACCTGCTTGAGCACTTCTAGAAAACGCCCAAATTATTAGTCCAGCTTCTCTCTTCTTTGCTTCTGGGGAAAAGGTAGAGCAGACATTTATTTACTCTCATCGATCTCTTCATTACTTCTTTGTTTGTCTTTCCTCTTCCTTGTTGGAACTTCAAATTTGTCTTCTTCAGATCATCCTCTTGCTCCGCCTCACTTTCATTCCTACGATGTTGATCACTTTTTTGCTCTCCTTCATTCTTAGCTTGATTTCCCATCAACTCATTCGTCTCTACTACCAACAGATCTTGCAATATTTTGCTATTCCTCAAAGAGACTGCATTTATTGTTTCCTTTGGATTCCTTTTGGTATCCGTAGGGAGATTTCCTGGAGACTCTCGGATAACAGACTAGCAATCTGCACCACTTGCCTTTCAAAGTTTCGAATAGCTACACCATGAGTTTCAAATCTCCCATCCGTCTTAATAATAAAAGCCTTCATTAGATCTTCCAATCTAGACTTATTAGAATATGGAGGCTAGTATTGCTGCCTCTGCTTATTCTGAAATCCTAGAGCTCCTTGTCTCTGGGGTCTCAGATTATGCTACTGCTATGAGTTCAGACTACCACTTGGTTAACTCCAAGAAAAGCCTGGGTGCCTCTGCCCATAGAGATAAAATTATTGCCACTCTAGTAGTTGCCTCTATTAAAACTTCCCACGACATTTACCACTTCATCTGCAGTTGAGGCCTGACACTCATGCGTTGGATAACCAATTCCACAAAAGTCACAAATTGATGATGGTTGGCTCTGGACCTTGGCTAAGGACAACTTTCTTATCTCTTTGGCCATGGCATCGAGCTGGGCTTGTACTGATGTGTTAGAATCTACTTGATGAACCCCAGCTAATTTTCTTCTATCATTACTCTCAGCAGGCTATTGGTTAGGATCTTCAGAGAGCTCATCAAGAATTGCAACAATCTCCTTAGGGGTCTTCTTCATTAAAGGACCTCCAACTGCAGTGCTTAGAGTTCGTCGTGAGGCTGGTGTCAGTCCATCCAAAAAGTCCTGGAGTTGCATCTAAAATTCAATCCCATTATGCTGATACTTTCTAAATATCTCCTTGAATCTTTCCCAAGCCTCGTAAACTGTTTCAGTGTCCTTCTGGCAGAAGTTGTGAATTTTGCTTCTAAATTTCACTGTTTTTGCAGCTGAGAATTATTTGTTAAGGAACTTTTTAGTCATATCTTCCCATGTCCTGATCGACCCAGTTGGTAGGCTACGAAGATAGTGCTTCACGTCATCTTTTAGTGAATAGGGGAATGCCCTTATGTAGACTGCATCTTTTGACACTCCGTTGTATTGGAAGGTGTTTATGATTTCCTCAAAATCCATCAAGTGAGTGTTAGGATCTTGATTCACCTTCCCTCTAAAAACACAGTTGTTTTGGATAGTTTGAAGCAAACCTTGCTTCAACTCAAAATCATTTGCTGCTACGGATGGAGGTTTGACATTGAACAATCCCTGATAGTAGACTGGTCTGGCATAATCACCGAATGTTCTACCAGGCTTAGGTCCCATATTTTTGAACTGGTCTTCAGCCAAGGTCGATTTAGATTGATAGTCTCACAAGCAACTCTATGGGCTTCCTTAGTTGCTATTTGTGCAACTTCTTCTCTATGTTGTGCTGCCTCTTTTTCAGCTAAATCTACCCCGTCGTCACCGTTATTAGCCATGTGTCCTTGGGTTGAAGGTTGCTGCAAGAACTTTCCGGTGAGTTCTTTCTCTTTCCTCAATTGTCACTGACTCTTTTCCACCTCTGGATTGTATGGAATCAATGATGATCGAGTAATACACCAGAGAAGTCAACTTGTTGCTTGCACACGGAAGAGAAAACCCATGAAGAGTAAAAAAAAAATAGGTTCATGAATTAGCACCAAAAACTATTTTGAACACTATTGATTGCCAATCCCCGGCAACGGTGCCAAAATTTGACCAGCGCAAAATACAATACAAAATTGATGCTCGCTTGGAAATGATAGTATAGTTTAATTATCGTCTCCACAGGGATCGGATTTAAACAATGCTCAAGTAATTTCTAGCTTAACACTATTCAGGATGATTAACACTATGGTTGGGATTATTAATACTAAAATTAACTTTGAAACTAAAACAATTAACAGTTGATCAAGGAAAGAAAAAAGTTGAGCAACACAGAATATCAATGGGAGAAATAAGGGTCATGACAGGATAGGTGCAAGATGGCTATTTGGGATCTAACTCTAGTTCAATTCACTCTAAAGTTCTAATGATTCTCACGAATTCACTCGATGATTAGCTCAAACGTGTAGTCAAGACTCATCTCTCGATTGAATCTTAATTCTACGAGGTTAACTAATATAAGCATTGTGAACATATGCAAGCGCGCATTAATGTATTAGTCTTCTGAAAAACGTTTCTCGAATATTCTCCTAATTTGATTTAATCAACAATTCAACAAGATCTTTCGATTACTTAAAACAATCGCTGAATTAAACAAACAAAATAATGCAAAGATAATCACCAAAATATTCCTCTTTCGATTAAAATAAACTGGTGAATAAAGTTGCAATAAATTTAAAGCTCCATAAACGAATTCAAGCAAAGAAGTAGAGTTAAAATTCACAAATATATTCAAAACACTATATCCATCAATCCCTAAGGTAAACTACTCCATATTCATGGGGAAATTCATCATAAATAAAGTTGAATAATAATAAAACATGAATTCAATCCAAGCCAGGTGTTTAGTTGAGGAAAGAAAGATGAATTCTTGTGCTTTGAGTGTCCAATGCTCTTCCAATATTCGGTAGGTTAAAATTCCCTTCAAAAAACATGTTTCAAGTGTATTTATACCAAGTAGGAACAAACCCGGATGAAACTACCCTCTTTGAGCCGAAGTGGGAAAACCTGCAAGCTTTTTACACTTCATGCATCGCACCATGCGTCGCATTATGCGTCACATTAGTGTAATTTACTCAGTTTCAAACTTTCTGAACTCCGCTTGTCTGACAGACCTTTGTACTAATGTGTCGCACTAAGCCACGCGCCATGCTTCGCATTAGTGTATTTTTCTATCAGACCCAAAAACTCCAAGTCTCTGAACTTCTCAAAATTCAAACGAAATTTTGTACTAATGCGACGCTTAATGCCACACCTTATGCGACGCACAAGTACATTTTTCTCTAGCCCATGTGCTTTTTTCTAACTTTCCTATGCAACGCCGGTCCACGAGCCCCGGATGCTATCCCGTTTAATTCTTTAGCTTTTGTTCAGACTTTAAAGCTCCAAATTGTTCTATTTAGCTTCAATTTATCTTTTTAACTTGGAATCATTTCCTGCAAGGCATAAAACATGTAATAAGTGCATATCACCATTATTTAAGCTCGAACACACATAAAATATAGTAATTAGAGTGGAAACTAAGGCCAAAACACGGGTTTCTATCTTACCATTAGGGGGACGTAGCAACTCCGGTCGATGGTGGACAATATCCTGGACATGTGAGGGAAATGACTCCCGGTGATGCTGAGGACGAGCGTGTTGTGGAAACGGTGAGGATCTTGAGAGAAGAGCAAAAGGCCATCATGGCCATCTCTCAAGGCAGGACCAGGTCTTGAAGGAATTAAAGCAGGCGTTGTCAGGCGCTTCCAACAACGCAAATGGAAGAGGTCCAGCTCCTCCCGACATTCTTGTAAATCAAGAAACTCAAAGAGTTGATAATAACACCCCGAGGGGTAAGGTCGGCTTCGACGGAACCGAGGGGACCAGTAGCGGATCCGGGAATGACATCGGTAATGATCCCTTCAAAACCAATCCCATGAGATTCATGAGAGTGATGAACTAGCGGATGGATCAGAACGCGAAAGAGTTCCATGCTAGAATGGATCAACTTTCGGTCGCACCACTAGTGTTGAAAGGCCCGGAATCGAAGAAGTACGCCCAATTGCCGTTTAAACCAAGCGCATCTCCAGAATTGATTCCCAAAACGATTCAAAATGCTGGACATACGGAAGTACGATGGGACTTCAAACCCTCAGGAGCACATCAGAAGTTACACAATGACAGTGAAAGGAAACGACTCGGCCCAACACGAGATTGAGTCAGTTTTGCTGAAGAAATGCAGAGAAACCCTCACAAAAGGGGCCTTGACATGGTATTCACTCATACCCGAACACTCAATAGATTCCTTTGAGATGCTCATAGATTCTTTCATTAAGGCCCATGTCGGGGCCAGGAAGGTTGATCCACGTCTAATCCACACTAAATAGTGAGTGGAAACGGTTGTTGGAAGAATAGTACCCAACAAGAGTCGGGGTCGATTTCCTCAGGGAGTTTAATATGGGTGCTAGGGTGTACACCTGATAAGGATAAATAAAACAGCTCAATTGCACTCTCAAACAAGGGATTTTGTTTTCTACTTCTAAAATTAACACTAACAAGATTAAACTAAGGAGAAGAAACTAGAAAGCAATAAATTGTTTTTGTTGTTTTTATTAAATGGGTAAAATGCCAAGGGATGTGACCTTCGCTGAGGTGCTACCGTAATGGGTAAATCACGTTAATGCTTGGTTTAGTGACTGAGGTGTATTATAATTCTAAATTCTAAATCATCCACTCAATACCTCTTGGTTATAGAATGATTTTGCCTAAATTGGGCTTCTCAAGCCCAATTGGTTATCAATTCAAATAATTGATATGAGCTCAACTCAGGTTTTCCCTATCTCTAGTTCAAACCCTTTAATTAGACTAGCCAAAAGCTTAACTAGTCCAATTTCTTGTTAGCAAGGGTTTTCTAAACTAAGTGCCACTTTATCAAGTAAGAACCAAGTCAAATAAGCATGAATCAATGTTTGTAACTATTAATTCTAGAAATAATGCATGAACAAGGCTAAATAACAAATATCCAATCATAAACAAGCATAAAATTAATCACCCATAAGTTTTATACACTAGTGTTGGGTTACAACCCTAGAGAAAATCTAGCTACTCATAGTAGAAATAGAAGAAAACAAAGAAGAAGAACTAATTAAAGCCACAACTAAGATTAATTTAATAAAACTAATAATTCTTAACCCAAAATAGCCACTAATTACCAAAAACAGTAAAATATAACGTCAACAGCTCAAACTATTACAAAACTTGCCCTAAAAAAGTATTTTCCATCTATTTATGGTGGCCCAAAATTTGCAGACAAAAATGCCATTCGTGAGGTTCTGTGACTGCACAATTCCATGTGCAGTCCACACTTTTCTTAGCTCCAGCAAGTGTAGAGATTTTGCAGCCGCACAATTCCATGCGCTGATGCACTTCAGCTTTTGCGGCCGCACTTTTCCATTTGAGGCTGCACTTTTGGCAAGACGTCACGTTTGGTCTTTTTGCGCATTCTCTGAACCTTTTGAATTCTTGTTAGTGTGACCATGTTTTGCAGCCGCACTTTTCCATTTGAGGCTGCACTTTTGGCATGGCGTCACATTTTGTCGTTTTGCGCATTCTCTGAACCTTTTGAATTCTTGTCAGTGTGACCATGTTTTGCGGCCGCAGATTTAGTATGTGGACCACACTTCCCCAAACATTCTTTGAGCTTCAGGTACAAGATATATGTCCGCAAAATTATTTGTGCGGACGACACTTTTTTCTGCGGCTGCAGAATTCCTTTTGTGGACCGCACTTTGGCCTGCTACACTCCTTCTTGCCTATATGAGCTGGAATAATCTTTTTTGAGTTAGAGTTCTTCGTTAAGGTCAAATTCTCCAACATGCCTACAATTTGCACAATTTCATTAGTTTTATCAATAAGAATCAACACTTCGA